AAGTGTGAGCACCATCGAAGGATTAAAATGAAATACATAAACCTATGACATGTGAAATATCATATCAAGACATGATCATAAATTAATAAGCATATTCATGAACACAAGAGCGTAAAACACTAATGAAAACAAAATTTCCAAATTCAGTACTACCTAAAGATTATACTCAAAAGGGCTATTTCAGATTTTTTCCAAAGCCCGGCCTTTCTATGGTTCATAGGGAATTTTATCTAGTTTTCATAACATTTTTCGGAAATGGAATAGCTTTTCCAGATTTGTAGTTATTTCAGAAATACTCCAGCTCTGTCTAGATTCGTCAACCATTACGAAAATCAGATTTTCTCACAAACTGCTCACTCGTTTTCAATGAAACCAATTTTCCTTGAAAGATAACTCCTTAAGAAAGATTTTGACATAAAATGGAGTCTAGAATATTTTTATACATTTTTCAACAATTTTCGTAAGGTGGCTGTAAAATAGATTTTTCTGGCACAGTTCTTAAAAATAGAACGTTGGTGAGAAAAGAGGTCAGCTAGGGGAAAATTTCCACTTATCTTGTGATGAAAACATGCTAAATAATATGTAGTAAACTCATAAATTTAAGGTGAAGGTGTGCCTTTGAAAATTTTGAGAGATTGATAGGGAAAAATATAGTCCTATACCGATTAAGAGAAATAGAAGAAGGGTAGAATCAAGGCTCAATTCCTTTCATTTTTGACACAAGAATACCATTATAACACATCTGAAAATACCATTTTAAACTTCTAATAACATGTATTTCCATTATAACACATCTGAAAATACCATTTTAAACTTCTAATAACATGTATTTGAAAAAGGAAAATGGAAGAGAGAGTTGTGTTGTGGTTTGCTTGAGGGTTGTTGGAATTGCCAGCAAACTTTTTCTTCTTTTCCTCTCTTCTACCAAGCTCACCCTCCTTCATTTCTTCTCTCTCAGCTGAATATAGTGTGTATAAGTGTTGTTCTTGTGTGTAAAATTCTAGGGGAGGGGTTGTTTATATAATGAATTTGGTGCAAAAGGTCCTAAAGGCCCCTTGGTTGGAATTGGATTGGATAGTTTGGATTTAGTTTGAATTCAATGCGATAGTGGAGGATTAAAGGTCTTAATTATGTTCCTAAATATGATCTAGTTAGGATTTTCCTCCTAATCAAACCAACCTAGTTGCTTATATATATGTATATAAAAGTGTGTACCAAGTCAAAGATTTTTCTTCCTTAAATCATGGAAAATTGTCTCATAGTACATTCAGTACACTTACAATAGTGATGGCTAGCCGTGTGATGATGAATTGATGGACTTATTTTATATTTTATTTTTATTTTTTATTTTTATTTTTTGTGTGTACAATTGTTGGAATTTGTAAAATAAAATGTTTTTAAAAAAGATTTTAGGATACAAGTGTATATACAAATATATAATGGTACTTGTTTTGGGGTCAATTTGTGATTAAATAAAAATGTGAGGGCTTGGGCTCAATTAAAGTATCTATTTCAAGTGTAGAGTTAATAAATTAGTGTTAGAAAAAATAATTCGGTTTGTATTATCTTGCTTTGAATTTAAAGGTAAATAACCGAACAAAAACTATGAAAATCGGAAGTTAAGGTTTAGAGTGATTAATCTAAAATTTGAGAGTTAAATAATTAATATTAGAGTGTTAGAAATGATTTCTAAGCTTCCAGGATCGATTAGGGTTTGTATGGGTTCGTCCGTGATGCGTTTTCGGTTCTAGGGTTTAATTTGCGAATAATCAACGAATTGAGGGATTTTTTATAATAACTCAAAATTTAGGGACCTAATAAGGTTTACAAAAGTTAGGGGTCTCACACCATAGTACATATTAATTAACGTATTCGTGTATACAAAAGTGATGCAGATGGAGAAGAAGCGGCAAATGATAAGGTGACCTTTGAGGAATTTGTATTGTAACTATGGCTTGAAGACTGGACTTGGTTGCTATTACAAACAGTGGTAGAGCCATAGACCAAGGATGATGCATTCATTGGAGGAGCTAAGTATGTTGGCACAGACATGTTTGCTGGGAGAATGGGCAATGTAGCTTCAAAATTAAGCACATGAATTGCTTGCCTAATTGAAGGTTGAAGATTGTGATCTGGATGACCACACCAAAGCCCAACAATCATCAAGCATTCCATTTCTTCCTTAACAAAATTTGGGCATATCTTGGGATCTAGTGCAGCTTCAAGAAGCGTGGCAGTACCATAGAGGTTCGAAACCCACTCCACCATTCTCATCTGACTTTCTGGAACCTCCAAATCGATAGGTTTTCTTCCACATGCTATCTCTAATGCCACAACTCCAAAACTATAAACATCTAATTCCTTGTTCTCTTTGCTTGTGATTAGGCATTTTGGTGCCATGTAGCCCCTAGTTCCTGCCAAAATAGTTGTTTGAGAGTCTTTTCCAATATCGACAAGCCTAGCTAATCCAAAATTCCCAAGTTTAGTTGAATCCAACATGACAGTGCTTGATTTTAAATCCCTATGCACCACACATTGTTCCCACTCTTAATGTAAATAGAGCAATGCCGAAGCTAGGCCTTAAGCAATTTTGTACCTCATTGCCCATGTCAACAAGCTTTTTTCCTTGTAGAGATGATAATCTAAGCTTCCATTTTCTGTGAACTCATAAACAAGTAGGAGTTCTCTTTTGTCATGACACCAACCAAGTAATTGCACCAAATGCCTCAACCGACTAATGATCTTCACTTCAGATGCGTACTCTTTTATTCCTTGTTTTGATCCCTTTGATATCCTCTTCACGGACGTAGGAATTCAATTCCCTCAAGCAACCTTTAAAAATCCCACCAAATCCTCCCTCTCCAAGCTTCTGTTCCTCAACAAAGTAATTTGTTGCACGAAATAATTGTAATCTTGACCATACAAATAGATTTGTTGAGTTAATAGAATTATTCGAAATAGTGGACTCCATATTTGAAAAAGTGTATTGTCCCCATTTAAGATTGTAAGCCCTTTTACTTTTGACCAATGAGAATGTGTTTTGTTTACAAACATTTTGGAAGGTGAAGAGTATATCTTGGGACTTTGTTGTCATTATACTATATATAAAGAATTTTATTACAAAATTAAATACAATTTTTTTATTGGATAAAATTCAGACATTTTAAAAGACATATTTCATATAAAATGATTAAGTATCCTTAAATTTTTTTTATAAAATAAATAGGCACAACATTTTCTACCACTAAGGTAGGCGTAACTCCTATTATAACTCACATTGTGTTTTGTGACATGAGATTCACTATTATTCGAATATGGTGTGTTTAAGAAGTGTTGTGATTGATGGAAGAGATAAGACATATGATTTTGTATTAGGAGATGGGTAAACAATAAAGAAACTTGAGAGACTTGATCCCAAGATAAGGAATAACCAGTTACGAGGAAAGATGTGCTCATACATTTATTTGGAATGTGACCAAATTTCCAATGTAGACTTGACCAAGCCATTTGCTAGTGGTGATAGGTCACAACTGGAGCAGAATTTTTTAATTTATTACGTAACTTCATTCAATATAATTAAAAAGTATAAATTTTTTTAACAAATTAAATCATTTATTTTTAATTATTTTAATTAAAACTCTCAACTCTTAAAATGTTATCAAAACAGTAGGCCACATTATTGTTTTGATCAAAATTAGAAGCTTAGCAAATGGTAATCGCAATGGTAATGTAAATGAAATAAATGAACAACTCATTTATGTAATTTTGTAGTCTAATTGCTACCATATGAAATTTGAACTCTCATTAATTGATAATTATCTACAGCCTTGTGAAACACAAATCATTACAAGAAGAAAAAAGCTAATGCAGCTATAGAGAATGAGGTGAATTTAGAGAAATTTGTGTGGTAACTATAGTATTAGCTTGAAGACTAAAATCGACCAGTATTGGAAAAAGTAATAGAGCCACAAGAAACCAAAGACGAAGGAGTATTCACTGGGAGGCGTAACGTATGTTGGCACAAGCATTTTGGTAAGGAGAATGGGCAATGAAGCTTCAAAATTAAGTACATGAATTGCTTGCCTAATGGAAGGCCGAAGATTGTGATCGGGGTGAGCACACCAGAGCCCAACAATCATCAAACATTCCATTTCTTCTTGAACAAAATCTGCATATATCTTTGGATCTGGTGCTTCAAGAAGCCTATTGGTAGCATAGAGATCCCAAACCCACTCCGCCAATATCGTTTGACTTTTTGGGACCTTCAAGTCAATGGGTTTTCTTCCACAAGCTATCTCCAATGCCACAACTAAGAAACTATAAACTTCTGATTCCTTAATAACTTTTCCTGTAAGTAGGCATTCAAATGCCATGTATCCCTTGGTCGCTGCCACATTAATTGTTTTTGCATCTTTTCCATGGTCGGCAAACCTAGACAATCCAAAATCCCCCAATTTAACATTGAAATTTGAATCTAACATCATATTGCTTGATTTTACATCTCTATGTACTACACATTGATCCCATCCTTCATGTAGGTAAAGCAATGTAGAGGCCAAGCCTTGTGCAATTTTGTACCTTTTTGCCCATGTCAACACGTTATTTTCTTTGAAGAGATGGTTATCTAAACTTCCATTTTCCATGAACTCATAAACAAGCAGGAGTTTTTTTTTTGTCATGACACCAACCAAGTAGTTGCACCAAATTTCTATGCCTCAACTGACTAATGATCTTCACTTCAGATGCATACTCCTTTATTCCCTATTTTGATCCCTTTGATATCTCTTCACAACAACATAGGAATTCAATTCCCTTAAAAATTCTTTATAAACCCCACCAAATCCTCCCTCTCCAAGCTTCTGTTCGTTCCCGAATTTAATCGTTGCATGAAACAATTCAGCATATGAAAACTTCTTTGGTCCGATACCTTCATTGAATTCATCGTCCATGGGCATATCAGGGGAAATCTCCCCATCCTCTTCTGGTGCTCTACTTTTCTTCTACTTGACAAAGCCAAACAAAGCTAACCCACCAGCCAAAGTAGCTGATCCAACAGTCAACCCTACAACCAAAGCATTTTTGTTGTTTCCACCCTTCATTCTTAGGCTAGAGGTAGCATTGGGGCTTGGAATGAGAATAGAACTTAAACTTGGACTTGGACTAGGACTAGCTGGCACATCAATTTGCAAACTCGAATTGAACGACCATGATATAACAATATGACTCTCATACAAATCTCCTGTTCTAGCTGAGAAGCCTATTGTAACCCATTCTGGTAAGTGCTCCCTCAAGTCAATCGAAAAACTAAGACTAGTTTCAATTATGTTATTATCTTTGTATCCGGTGAAAACAACATTCAAATTTTTCGAACTAGAATTATAACTAATCCAAGCTTCATTCTCTTTCTCGTATGTTATGTTATTGTACCATACTGCAATAACATTAGATGTAATAGAGCTGATATCGATACATAAATGAGTTGTTGGTGTGATATCGAGTGGGTCCCATTGCCAATTCTGAAAGGTATCAAACTCCACAACAACAAATGGAGTCGATATGGGGAGGGGGGGAAATTGACAAGACTGGAAGACCCATGGTAGCACCATCTGCGTTCTTCAGAGTATAATTGTTAGGAAGAAGGGCGAATGCGAACCCATCTGCAAAAGTTAAGTTTCCTTCTCAATCGGTTATGAACGAGAAATGGGTGTTGAAGTCCGCCAGTGTTCCGGAAGCTATGTCCCCAAGGTGAAGAGGAACGTTATATGTAGCTCGACCAGCTTTCCAAGTTTCCTTCGGAGGGATTGGATTCCTTGGTTGGAAACATAAGTTTCTCCTTCTACTATTATGTCGGGATATTGATGTGTTATATTAAAATTGGTGAACTTGAAGCTAAGTGCAGTTGAATGAAGAGGAAAGTTGTAAAGGGTGATCACAAAGTAGAAGAAGAAGAAGAAGAGAGAACAAAGCTGAATAGGCGATTGGTGGGGGTTCCAAGGCCAAGAGTTGTAGATAGCCATAGCCATAGCCACAGCCGTAGCGATGGTTGGTTGTAAGGAAAATGAATTCTTCATGAGTGCGTTTGATCGTTGGAGATTGGACATTTATTGTTCCAAAGTCTTTGAAAGGTCCCTGTGTATTTATTTATGTTTTAGAATGTATGTGTACATGTTTGGGTAAAAATTTGGGTAAAGATTGTTTCAATGCAATCTGATGGTTTATTTGATTAATTTGAATGTGATGGAATGAAATGAAATGAAATGACATGGTAATTTTTGTTTTTTTATACAAATATTTATTTTTTTTAAATAATGAAAGATGATTTTATTTGTAATATATTTGTTATTATTTTTTTTTTCTCTAACTAAATATGAAAATAAATATTTTAAGGGACAATTTCAAACAAAATTCAAAGTTTGATCCTTCTAACAAAATAAAATTGTAATTTTGTTAATTTAAACCTCAATTTTTTTATCGCTTATTATTGTTAAGTAAAACATACAAAAAAATGTTTTAATTATTAAACTCAGTGTAGATGCAACGCCCTCAAAATAATACATAAAACCCATCATTTTAGACATGCAATAATACAAGAGAAATAAACATCTTTCCATTAATCAGAATGGTTCTTACAAAAGTATTACATGTTAACAACAAAAGCAAATGCCCTATGGGCTTACAGCTTTCCAAGTTAACACTTGGTTACAAAAAAGAAGAGTGCTAACTCAATACATATTAAGCCCTTGGCTTGCATTTACATGTAATGCATCAAAAGAAACAAACAACAAAAGCAGTCTGTCTGCCTCTAGCCTCCCAAGCTATGTCCTTGGAGGTGGCATGCTACCTGTACCTGAAAATGATGTCCCTTAAAGGGTGAGCCACAGCCCAGCAGAAACACACTAAACCAGCCATGAACAATGACTAAAACATTAGCAGTTGATAGATGGTCAACCCCGATACACCCACTTATATCACATTTCAGTTTCATGACATTTAAGTCCATATTACATTTCATTTTTCATTTCTTTTTCAACCTTGAGTTTGACAACCAGGCCCAAAACCTTCTCAGTCTAATCAATGAGAATAAGACTCATCTTTAAAACACTCAGCATCCTATGATTACCAGATCCAAATCTGCTGCTACTGGTCCTCCTCACTGTTTGCTTGCTTCCTCTGTCCCAGCCTCAGTTTCCTACATTACTACTGAACCTCCTTCTTACAGAGAAGCTTTGCTGTCTCCTGTTTGGCATCAAGCTATGCTTGATGAATTGACTGCTCTTCAACAACAACATACATGGTCTTTAGTGTCTCTTCCATCTAACAAAATTGCCATCGACTGTAAATGGATTTTCAAGATTAAACGAAATTTTGATGGCACTATTGCAAGGTATAAGGCACGATTGGTTGCTAAAGGGTACCTGCAGCAAGAGGGTATAGATTTTCATGAGACTTTCAGTCCAGTGGCTAAGCAACCCACTATCCGAATCTTACTTTGTCTTGCTCTTCACTATCAGTGGTCACTTAAACAGTTAGACATTTCCAATGCATTTCTCCATGGCCGTCTTGACGAAGAAGTATTCATGCTTCAGCCTCCAGGTTTTGCAGATTCTTCTTCACCTAATCAAGTATGTAAACTACACAAGGCATTATATGGGTTGAAACAAGCACCACGCGCTTGGTATTCCACATTTTCTCAATACTTGTTGTCTCAAGGCTTCATTAATAGCAAGAGTGATTCTTCTTTATTCATTCAAAAGACATCCACTTCAGTCACTTATCTGTTGGTTTATGTCGATGACATCTTGATCACTAGTGATAGCTCTTCTCATATTCAATCTCTCATTACAAAGATGCACAGCGTGTTCTCCATGAAGGAATTGGGTGACATCGCTTATTTTCTTGGTATTTCAGTCCAGCCTACCAGCTCAGGATATCTATTATCTCAGTCTAAATATGCCAAAGAAATTCTGCTTAAAGCTGGCTTGTCATCTTGTAAGTCTTGTCCTTCACCCATTTCAGTCAAGCCTAGTGTTCCTCCAAATGCTGCTTTACCATTTTCTGATCCAGCTCTTTATAGAAGTATTGTTGGTGCCTTACAATATCTCACCATTACCAGACCAAATCTGTCTCTCTCTGTTAACCAGGCTTGTCAACATATGCATGCCCCTACCATTGGACATTTTGCTGCCATGAAGAGAATTCTTAGATATGTTCAAGGCACCATCACTCATGGCTTGTCTTTCTCCTCCAGTACTTTTGATGTGCATGGGTATTCCGATTCCAATTGGGCAGGAGATGTTCTTGATAGAAAATCAACGACTGGTTACTGTGTTTTCTTGGGGTCCAATTTGGTCTCTTGGTCTGCCAAAAAGCAGGCCACAGTCTCTCGCTCCTCCACTGAAGCTGAATATAGAGCTTTAGCAAATACCGCTGCTGAGTTAAGTTGGATTTCCATGCTGCTCACTGAAATGAGTATTGCTTCCCCTACTACACCCATACTCTGGTGTGATAACCTCTCTGCAATAGCTCTAGCTTCCAATCCCGTGTTCCACTCACGTTCCAAGCATATCGAAATCGATTGTCATTTTGTCCGAGATAAGGTTTTGGCTAAGCAATTTCAGTTGCAATACATTCCAACTATGGATCAGCTTGCTGATCTGTTTACTAAACCTGTCAGCGTATCTCGGTTTCAATATCTCAAGTCCAAGCTCATGGTTCTTGATTGCCCCATCAGCTTGCAGGGGACTATTGAAGTGAGCAATACCACTGATGCTTCAACTGCTAGCAGTACCACTTTGCTTCAACAGATTCTGGTACAACTGCTGCTGCAAGAAAACACTGCTCTAACTAATTCTGTTATTCCAGCTGTGAGAAGAAGCTTCTCGAAGTTAATTCCACCTCATCCATTTAGTTATAACTATCACTCCATTGTAACAAACTAGTAACTACTTACAAGTTTATAAATACAGCATTGTAATTCATTCTCTGGTGTATTCTGAAAATTAAATAATAAAAGAAGTTCTTAGTTTCTTCAAAAGCACATCCCCTTCTTAGGTTCTTCAATTTCACCACTCTCATTTAATGAAGGATTGTTCTCTAGTTCCTCAGCTTCCTCACCCCCACTCAATGTAGGATTGTTTGAATCAATGTCCATTATACCTTCAAACTCAAATGCAAAGTGTGAAACAGATTTAGCTATAGACATGTTAGTATATTATATTAGTGCTTGTAATGATGTTAGTAGTGTATAGCTATTAGTAGTGTATATTTCCTTTACCTTTACTTTACTTTATTAGTGCCACTTTCGGCTACTTTAGGCTCTCACTTTTGGCTCCTCTCCTATATAAACGAGCTCAATTGAACCTTTGTAATACAACATTCAATACATTAATATATACATAATTTATTCTCTCTCTCTATCAATTTATCTTACATGGTATCAGAGCTAGGTTAAGAACCTAGTCATTCTGTTTCACCGGCGGGCGGTAGCCTCGCCTTGGCTGCCCGCCGGACCTCTACACATACCCCGACTCCGCTGCTACTAAACCCCTCCTCCCGATAGGAATAGAGGGATCAAGCTTCTTTCTTCTTCCTCAAAACTGGCCCAGCTTTATTCTTCTTCAATCGGAGCCCGCGGCTGCCAAACCCAAAGGCCACCTTGCCTAGCTTGTTTTGTGACTACTGAAGGCCACCGACTCCTGCACATTGGCTGTGGCTACTCCAAGTGCTGCCATTACGGAGCTGACTCTTTCTCTCCAAGACAAACCCAGATTTCAACATATTTCAACATTTTCAGAGAGGCTCTGTTTCACCATCGGTGCTGTACTTCGACTTAGCGACGCAACTCCTCAGAGATCTAGGCACATCGGAGCTCGATTTCGCTGACCAACGCCGACGCCGACTCGTCTGCGACACCACTACTGCTGCTACGGTTGGCCAGCTCCGACAACAACTCTGCTGCGGTATCACGGTTGTTGGTTGCTTGCGAGCTCGGTTCGCACCTGCCCTGCGCGCAACCACCAGCTCGCACGACCTGCGTGCCTTGTGTCCGACATCTGCGACCTCACTGTTGCTACCAGCCGCGACCGACCAGTGCTGGCCACGCCGCCCACTCAACGCGGTGTTGGCCTGCGCACACACCAGCTACACAGCAGACACACACCATTCACACATGCTGTGGTGTCCGCTCCGCCGGTTTCAGTCTCACTCCTCTCCAGCCATGGGAGGCCTGATCAAACCATGCATTCATCAACTCTCTCTCGGTCACCATGCATGACCACAGAGCAACACACAACTCTCCCTCTCTCTTCTCAACGTACTTTTGGTACACGGGTTCTCTCTCTCTCTCTCTTCAAGGCCATGGAGTCATGAAGGGTGATGCTGGTTTCGGTCTTCACTGGCTCGACTATCACACACACACACTGCACCTCACTCTCTTCTCTCTCGGGTTAGGGATGGAGAGGGCCATACACAGAGGTCATGAAAATTTTGTCATGAAAAGGATTATGAAAAATTTGTGATTCTTAGATTACTTGATTAGTGTGTGGTGCTTTATTGTAAGTGTAATCCAAATGTCACAAATCTTTCATGACCATTTTCATGAAAGGCT